TATCTGCAAGGTGTTTTTTTTTTATAACACAGCGCTTCCTTGCGTGCCTAGCATAGCTGTACTGCCTACAAAAGGGGTATCCTGTGCTCCATCCTCATCTTGACTGGCAGTACTACCTGAGTCTCTTCCCTCTAGTCAGATCTATGTCTACGGATCTTGGTTCAGGATGTGCTCCTCTGCACAGCTTTCTCCTAAAAACCTATGCTAACTGTCCCAGTAACTCCTGCTTCAGAAGGAAGCCACAAAACCATAGAAAACCGTGCCTTAGAGATAAGCAAAAAGTAAGAAAACAACATCTCCACTCTCAGTCAAATCAATGTTTTTGTAAGTGAAAATGTCTTTGTGGAGTTAAAAAAAAAACAAAATAAAACAACCCTCCCCCCAAACTTACATGAATTAATGAAGGAAAAAATCCTAAATACAGGGATGTCTATTGACTGCTGGTCTCTACAGAACAAAACACTGGACAACTTATCTCAACCAACAACATAAAAAAAGCAACATTTCTCCCTGATGAGCCAGTGAGACGTTCATAACAACCTAGGGAGAAGGGGGAAAAAAAACAGAAAGAGGGAAGCCACACGGAAAGAAAAAGAGAAACTAAGAGAAATGAGTTATTTAGACATATGCTGAAGAAACATTACAGAAAGGTGAGAACATGAGGAAGTTCTAAAGCTATTTTCCTGAATTACTCCTATCGAACATGCTTCCTCTGGATACTTTTCTCAAGTCTTGAGATAAACCTAAAAGAAAAATATACCCAGATCAGAAAACAGCTACAGAGAAGGAATAACTGTCAGCTATGTGTGGACAGGTAGCAGGAATACAGTTTCAGAGCATTCACGTAAGGAAATCTCAGGGAATGACCAATTAAGAGAAATATTCAGGAGCTGTTGTTGACCAGAACGGACTAACTAGTGTAACCAAATGCTGTAACATGGACATTTGGAGGTTAGGGAGTGCAGCTGGTTACGTTCCAACTTCTAAGGCTGTAACACCTGGTCTTTACTGTCATTCTTAGATGCCCATCATCCTGCATCTTTTTTTTTCCTCCGCAATAAACATTTCTCAGCCATGGGAAAACCTTTCACACTTATCAGACCATTTCAGGAAAGTACTTTCACGTTTTGTTTTTAAAGGAAACAAAGACCTTTGAAGAACACTGCATGGTAACGTACTGGAAGGGAAGGGCAGGTGAATGAATGAGCATGGATTACTGTTCAAAACACTGTGTTTCCAACTTTGAAAGTGAAGCCAGATATGGAGATAGGGATTCAGCTGAAATCAGTTGAACAACTTCCTTTTCCTTTTTTTTTTTTTTAAGCAACTGAAAACTGACCCCATAACTTCTTCTTCTTTAGGCAAAATAGATCCTTCAGAAGAGTCCTCTTCACCAAAAATACTTTTTTTGTACGTCAGGATACACAGAAAAAAGAAAATGCTAATAATCATTATCGCAATTAAGCAGAGCAGCCTCTTACAAGGTGCAAGTATGATTCTCACAAGAAATGGAAATTCTCAGTGCTTTTTGACTTCACGTGTCTGCCTCTTGGACCATGTTTTAGAAAGGTTTGCAGTGTTCAGGTCTACCTGAACAACTAGGCTTTTACAACTTTAAAAGAAAAACACCCTTCCCTGTTTGTTTCTCAGGGAAAGGTGGGTTGTTTTTTTTTTCGGATAACACTATTCCCTGACATGAGAATAACATACTACTTTAATATATATCCTGTCACAAGAATTACATTTTTCAAGCGAGTTATACCTACGCTTATCACTGATGAGTGTTGCTGCCTTTTGCAGGACTTCAGTCCTATTCGGAGCGCCTACAGACATCGCACACAATCCTGTAACTCCTGTTGCACCCCGAGACGAAAACCGCCCTTTCTGGGACGGCTTTCGACATAGCCCGTTTCCTTTGAAAAGGCGGGGGGGGAGGGGCGGCATCTGTC